ACACACACACACACACACACACACACACACACACATACACTCTCTCTCTTCATCTCCCCCCTCTCTCTCTCTCTCTCTCTCTCTCCATCTCTCTCTCTTTGGTACTCACACGCACATGAACACTATGCTTCAAAGGTCAAACTAACTAGTCTCCCACATACATTTAAGAACTAATTGTACCATACACACCATCACGTGAACTAAGATCCAGTGGCTCTAGATTAATTTCAACACCTCGTGTGTCTCTGAAGAAATATTGTGAGAGAGTTTTTTCTTTTTCTGGGCCAACAGTTTGGAACACTCTCCGTCATGATTTTAGAAGCGAAATAAAACTTGATACCTTCTAAAGAGGACTCAAAACACATCTATTTAAGAAATATTTTAATTAATGGACAGTACCTTTGTCTTTTTGTATGAGCATTTTTTATTGTCTGAAAGAATGTTGCTGTCAAAAAGTGCGCACATGATGAATTTGTATGGTGTTAGTATGAATGCCTTTTTAAGCTCCTATGTACGCCTTGGGCCCATGCTGTGGGGAAGGCGGGATACAAATGCTCTTATTATTATTATTTTTTATTGTCTAAACGTAGAGCTCATGTGAAATAATTACTACACGCTGGAAGTAATCAAGTAATTGTCTAAGTGTCGAACTCAAAGGAGGTAATCACTTTTTGCGGGAAAGATTCAGGTAATTGTCTAAATGTGGGACTCAAAAGAAGTACCGGTAATCACAATTGCCTGGAAGTAATCATGTTGTTGTCTAAGGGTTGGACTCAAATACAGAAACCAATACTCGCCTGAAATAATCGAATAATTGTCTTAGTGTCGTACACAACGGGAGTAATCACTATTCTCTGGAAGTAGTCGAGTAAATATCTAAATATCCGATACAGAGGTAATAGCCACTTTTAGTCGAAAATAATCAAGTAACTATCTAAATGTGAAACTCAACACAAGTAATCACTACACGCTGGATGTAATCATGTGAATATCTAAGTGTCTGTCTCTACTTAAGGAAGTAATCACAATAATTACTTGGAAGTAATCATGTTGTTGTCTAAGGGTCAGAGACAACAAAAGTAATCACTACTTGGCCAAGTAATCAAGTAATTGTCGGGGGATCAGATTCACTGAAAAGATCATAGAACCACCGGAAGAAATCACATCAGTCGGGTAACCGAACGTACTAATTGATTAGTTTCGGATACGATGCCTACTTGCGATTCCTAGCTTTCAAAAATTAGAAATATGCAGAGGTTATAATAAAACACAAAAATAAACAACCAACCCCCCC